AGGACATAATCACCCTGGGGATGGAGCTCAGGGCTGCTCCAGGCCTCAGTGGGAAGACCATGTTCTCTGTCCCCTTCCCAACCTGACAGCCCCGAGTTGGGGGAGAGCTGACCTGGAGAGTGGTGGACAGAGGGAGCCGGCAAGCAGGAGGATCTGATCCATCATTGTTGGTGAACAATGAGCCGTCACCACCCTAATTGAAGATGTAATTACAGCAAATACATTCTGGGCTGAGAATGAATGACGGATGGCAGGAAGGCACCTTGTAGCCAGCAACCAGGAGATGCTACTGCCTGAAGCTCCCCATTCCTAGTTGGGGAACCCTCCCATCAACACTCATGCCCCCCCAAGCTGGTTACAGGGTTTTCTGGTGCCTCCTGACAGGGTGGTGACTGACAGGCAGGAACTGAAGCTGGAGCTGAGGGGCCAGGCAAGGGCCGGGGCAGGGATACTTGTTGGAGAAATGAGGGAGGGAAGGAGTCCCAGAGGCCAGACATACTGGGCTGGTATGTCTGTCAGACAAGGGTAGACCCAGCAAGGAGGGGGTATCTCTGTGAGAGCATCACTAGAGCACAAAACAATTTTCCAAAGTGCCCCTGTGTTGGAGGTAATAGTGCCCCTGCAAAGGCCAGAGGGACAGATGGCTATTGATCCTTGGGCCTGGAGAGAGACTGCAGGGCCAGGCTGAGGGGCTCATGATAAAGGGTAACCATAGCAGGGATCTGGTGGGCCATATCGGCTTTGCATCTGGCCCAGGTTCTGGGGACTAGGTGGTGAGGGACTCTCCTAAGGTCTGCATTGTCCTGGGGGTCAAGGGACTGGCCATTGAAGGGAATAGAGGTAGGTTCCTCCTACTGCCCTGGTGGCTGCTGTTCCCTCCTTTTGCAGGGAAGGCCCCCAGGCACCTCCTACCCTCCCATTCCAACTCCTGCCCAGGACCCCCTCAAAGGTGTGGGCACTGGTTGCCCAGGGTTGCCTGGGTCTGGGACATCTTCCTCTATTTGGGATCTGCACATCTGGATTCAAGGCCTGTTTGCCCTGGGCCCCCACCCCCACTCATGCTCAGGGAATAGGAAACCCTAGCACAGGGTCAGGTCACTCTGAGGCCAGCCCAGGCTGTGCCGTTCCCAGGGCCAAGGCATGAAGGCCTGCCCAGATGGGGAGCTTGGTGGCCTCAGCCTCTTGTTTCCATCTGCCACTGTGGCCCCTGGCCAGGGTCCTTCAGGGTGTGTGGGCTGACCCCCAGGGAGAGAGGGCTGGGTAGGGGGCAGTGGGGAGCCAGGCAGCAGGCAGAGGGGAGGGAGGGAAGGCCACTGACAGCAGAACAAATGCTTGTAATTTTATAACCAATCTCAGCGTGTCCATGGGGGGCCGTTTGTGCCTCCACTCAGGACCAATCAGCCTGACAGAGCTATGAGTCTGCCTGAGTGAATGTGAGCAGCTTCCCCCCCCAACACCACTTACTGCAATCTCATTACGGGCCCAGCCCAAGACCGACCAGAGCTGAGGGGCTGCAGGGAAGGGGACCCAGCCCACGTGGAACAGAGCCCGGTCAGAGCCAGGGCTGGGCCTGGTGCCAGGAGGGCAGGCCTTGGAGATCCAGGCTCAGAGGGAGGGGGGAGGGAGGCAGGCTCAAGACATTTACTTGCACCCATTGTTGCTGAGCTTGTAGGATGGGATGGGGCACATGCCCCTGCCCTCAAGGGGCTTGCCGTCCACTAGGGGCAGGTGGAAAGGTTACAGAGGGATGGTAGGTTACCTAGGGAAGGTAGAGATGGAGAAGTGACAGGAGGGCGAAGAGGCCGAAGGACAAGAAAGGCAGGCAAGGAGGGCAGAGCCCCAGAGCAGAGCTGGCCTTGGGCAAGAGCAGGAAGGAGAGGGTAAGAAACCAAGGGAGAGGGAACCAGAGAAGCCCTGGGCAGAGGGGTGCAGGCCATGGTAGAGAAATGCCCACCGAGGAGAGAAGAGGCCGGTTGGGAGGGGCTGGCGGCCAGTGGTGGATATTAAAGGATGGCCTTGCTGGATATCTGGCTCTGGGGATGGCTATGTGCCCATTAGTCTCTCTAATTGTCAAAAATCTAATTTAGTGTCTGGAGCCCAGGCCGGCCTCAGGTTAAATGGAGAGAGGCAGGCCTAGCCATAAATCTGCCCTCCCAGCCTGGGCTGGTGCTAATTCTGCAGTTAAGTGAGGGGGTGAGGAGGGCAGCAAGGTGGGACAGAGGGTTCTAGAGAGGGGTTATCTCTGACCCTGATGCCAGCCCCCTCTTGCTGGCATGGCCAGGCCCCCCTTTTGCTGGAGGAAGGGGACTTGCCTGGGGCTCACTTAAACGAGGCAGGGGGAAGTACCTCAAATGTGTGAGGAGCTCCGGAGTCTCAGGATCCCTGAGACCCTCCTCCTCCTGCACAAGAACAGGGGCTCACTGGGGTCTGCGGTCTATGAGGGCTCAGCTCTTGGAAAAGGATTGGTAGGAAGGTCACATTTCCCAATAACATTGTGAGCCTTTGGTGTGGAAAGGACAAGGAGGTTCACACCATGTGACCAAGTGACTGGTCATCCTATTTACTAGGTGGCTGCTAGTGATGGGTTCAGACATGGGACCCGCGGGAGGCCATTCCTCAGTGGGGAGAACAAACACAACCCCAGGGCACCACTAGGGCGGCTCAGACACCAAACAAGGTGTGTGGGGACAGAACAGCCCTCCCCTGCCAGGGCGTGTGGCCTGAGGCAGGGGAGGGCTCTCCACCTGGGCTTGGTAATGACCTCACTCCCCTCAGAGCTGCTAATTGAAAGCAAGGGGTGTGGTAGGCGCAGCGGGAAAGGTTGGGGGACTGAGAGGGTTCCCTAAGAGGCTCTGCTTCCATGGGGGGAAGAAAACGATTTCTCCTGGCTTCAGCTCCATCTCACCAGGCACCCACCCGGCCTCTCCTGCTGCTAACGAAGTGCCTTTAATTAGCAGCCTAATAAAATGCTCTTAATTGGCAAGAGCCAATCAGAAAGAAGAGAGGTCTCCTCCCCTTCGTCACTGTGGATGGTGGCGCAGCTATAGGTTTCAGAGGGAGAAGATTCCAGGCCTAGCCTGGCTTTGGGAAACAGTAACTTCAGGGCTGAGTCTTCCAGGGACGTGCCCTCCACCCCGGCCATCCTGGAGGAAGCTGACACTGGGTTTGAAGGTGAGATGGTAACCCCCCTGGCCCAGTCTCTGCTCAGTACTGCCCAGCTGGCGAGTGACAACTGATTAGATGCCAGGGACCCGAGTGGTCACTGCTGACTCCTCCCTCCCTGCCCTCAGTTGTTAGGTAGATCTAGTATGGTCTTGGGCAGTGTGGGGAGCCCCTGTTCTTGTGCAGGTTCCCCATGTGCAAACACGCTGGGTGCACCTGATGCTCTGCTATGCCTTCAGCTCCAGCAGCGAGAGCTCTGCACCGGGGCCCTGTGGTCTCACAGTCTGAGGATGCTGTCATGACTCCAGGAGGGGAGCAGAAGAAGGAGATGGTGTGTAACCTTGTGCCTACTTCGCCAGGTTTGGTTTCAGGAGAGAAGGCAGGTGGGTTTCTCCCAGATGGTCAGTGCCCCCTTTATTTTTACAGTGTGCTGGAGTCTCTGAAAACTGCTCCAGAGCAGTGAGCTCACCTACAAGTCTTCCAGAGGAGAACTTAACAGTCCTGGGTGTGGGTAGGGTTGTGGTTAGTTGAGGAGGCTATGGGGACCTGTACCCAAATTAGACATCAGTTTGGCTTCGATTTAATTCAACATGGAACATTAATTATATGCTAGAGGTCCTATATTTATTCACGCCATTTGGCCCTGACTCCTCTCAATGTTGTTTCCTCACATTCCTTCAACTTGTATATCGAAAAACTCACTGTCCTACTGACGCTGGGGCAAAGAGACAAGACACTGGAAAATTCACTTTAATCTTATATTTGTAATTTAAGTTACTTTTTTCTGAACAGTTAAAAAAAAAAACAAAACACACTATATTACCATGATTCTAGGTTGTGAACATATTGGTACATTGACTACACATCACCAAAACAGTGTCACAAAAGTCAAAGCAGTCAGCACTTAAGAGTCTAGAGAACAAAGGGCGAACCAACTGGAAGCCTTAGGGAGCTCACAATGGCTGCCGGGCCTGCCCCATGGTTAGAGTCCAGTGAACACCCCTCAGAACAGTCTGGGTTGGGCTTGAGTCATCATTGATTTGGGAAGGTGTTAGTTTCCTTGGTACCCAGAGGTCTAACCCTTCTCGTTTTTTTCCTTCAAGAAGGGAAGGATTGGAGGGGAGGCGACGCTTTATAATGCTATTTACCACACTCATCCTTACATGCACACACGAATCAGGAGCTGAGAGAGCCAGCTGGGTGGGCTGTAGAGCACATAGTTTGATGCCATCTGCCTCCAGGAAAACTTTAGTACCTAATCATAGGTACTCAACTTCCATAGAAAAGGTTTCAGGATATCAATGCATTAAGTTCCACTTGAAATCAGGTTGCCATAATCATGCTACCTTTCTTTTGGTTTCTCTTCTCAGTCCCAATAATTTGGAAGTCACAAACAAAGTACAAGTAAAAACAAGAAGCAGAACGCAGCCTTATTCCCCTAAGAGATGGCTGTGTGGATAGAGCCCAGGGAGGACTCAGCCTGCAGCCTCTGGGGGCCCATGATAAAGTGAGAGCTACTCTAGGAGGGAAGAGGGGAAGGAAGGAGAAACAGGGCACCTTTTCATGTTCTGCCGCACCTGGAAAGTCTGAACTCATCTAAATGGGGAAGGAGATCAGAAATGTGGGTTTAAGTCAAATAGTAAACCTGATCATCAGAGAACATGATGGTCACAGGAGGTGGCTATCTAAGCATCCCCTTTTCTCCGGAAAAGTACTTGGATTCCTCCATAACCACGCTTGCAGCCTTGCCCTCAGGCCGGCACCCTTCTGGGTTGGACTGCTCTCACTTCGGGCAGGAAGGTATTACCTTCTAAGGTAAATGGAGGACACAAAGAAGGTTAATGATACCAATGTCATATAATTTAATTCTAGGAAAGAAAAAATGCCCTCATTATTTCCAATATTCCCCACCCCTTCCACCCCAAGCCTTTTGTTTCCACACACAATCAAATGCTAGATAAGGACACCAAGCCAGGAGAAGAGCGCATGTTTTCTTCTCTTCAGCTTTTGATTTTACAAAAAACAAAACAAAACAGGATTTTTCTTACTCAAGCAGAACGCAGAATGATTTAGGGGTCCCAGGGTCCTTTCCAGTTCAGAAACAAGTGATGAGGGCCAGGCTTGATTATCTGTCAACAGAGTTCCAGAGAGGCCCTGCCTCTAGAGTTTCTGGCAGAGTCACCAGGATTTTGCCAAGGGACAGTGTAAAAGGCTTCCCATCCACAATCCACACCTGCTTTCAGGCTGCACATAAGAGAGTGAAAGGATGTTCTCAGCGGTGGAAAGACACACGCGTGCAAGGCTTGCTGGTGTTGTCCGAGCAGCCCAGGGTGAGCGGAGCCCACGTGCCCGAGCTCCAGTGCGGGTGTGAGCGCACACTCCTTGCCCACCTTGGAAGGGGCTTCCTCCTGTCTTGAAGGAACATTTCTTTCACACCACATTGGAATTTTAGTGAGCAGAGACTGATCCACAACGGAGACATTTCATCTCCGAGCCCAGCGACACCTTCCGCTCCTTTTCTACCATTCCTTTAAATGTGTTGAGACTTTCTTTGTTTCTCTTTTTTAAAAAGGTCAAACTTTACATTTATTCTAGCCCAGTTGGGGATTAGTGATAATCAATTCCCACTGAAATCATGCAGAGATGGTAAGTGGGGTTTACTTTCTCTGGAAATGAACTTTTACTTACCTGATTATTTCTTCTACAATGAACTGGTAAATGACCCCCCGAGCTGAGAAATGTGACTGACTCAAGTTTTTCAGACCACTTAACTTCATTCCCATTTCCATCAGAGCAGAGGACAACTTGGGGAATATCGACAGAGCTAACTGCTCCAGGCTGAAGGGCCCACCTCGGTATCACTTCTGATGTACTGGACAGGCTGCAGCACAGTCTTAAAACAATCTACCTTCAAGTGAACTTCGATGGGAGAGGAAAACCCGTGCACCAATGAATATTCAACAGCTCTCACTTTAGAACAGCAGCATATAACAGAAGGGCTAGTAAAGTTATGGCTATTGGACAATATTTTTAAACAGCTTAAAATCCATGCCTCTTTAATGCCTGAGCTCAGGCTGATGATCTTGTGCCTCATCTGTAGCAAAACCCTCAACCAATCAAAAAGGCATTAATAGTCAACACAATGGACAAGGAACCATGAGAAGCGACTAGATAGAAAACATTTCTCTGTAGAATGGGTAGTTGGGAAAGGAATTATTCTCAAAAAATATTTCCTAGGCAATGACATCATTACACTGGGAAATACTTTCTGAATATAACCTGGAACTAAAAGCTTAAAAGCACTCATAAAGCAGGAAAGAAAAATGCATATGCATAACCTGCCCCTTAATCTGTAATACGACGTTCAGTCTGGGTACGTTTTAGGAAGGGGACACCTTTTTACAAATCGGAGGGAAGACGGCTTTCTCTTGCCTCCCCTTTTGCTGAACTAACGGGGGCCTAGCTTTGAGGTCACTTGCAATTGGCTCCCATTCTGCTCCTTTTATAGCCGCCAGTTAGACAGGGGCTTTCTTTTGCTCAACTGCTTTGATCAGGAATGGAAACAACAGGCCAGACGGCTCAGCTTCCAAGGGAAACGTGAGACTGTACTGTGGCCTCGGGCTTTTGATGGGTGTGCCCAGGCCACCAGGAATGGCTGGCGCAGGCCCACTCCCACCCCCACGCTGGTCGTATTCCCTGTGCTCCCAGGTTGGGTGGCACAGCTGCCTTCCAAGTGGCCAGGTCAGCCTGGCCCTTGCTGAGGTCCATTTGTTTATGTTATTAACTAACTCCCAGAGTTATTGGTTGGGGAGAGTGGAGAGTAACATATGACCAGGAAGAGGAAGAAAAGGAAAGCGAAGGCAGTTTCTGCCCCAGTAATAAACCCTGTGTGCCAAACTTCACCCTGATCTGCGCTCTCTGGCAGCTTTGCCCTTTGAAAATACCAGGTTTGGGAAAGCAGAAGGAAGGGTCTGCAGTGCAAGGTTGAGATGACGAGCTTGATTTTTGGAAATGGTATTTACTGGCCTAAATGAAAAAGAAATGAACTTTTATTCCCGACCACCTCTTAAGCTACTCTGATGGGTGGTCTTGGCAAAGATACAGGTGCCTGGGTGCTCACAGGCCCTGATGAGGAAATCTGAGACGTGAAATTATGCAGAATGTACCAAGCGACTGGCTCCGGCCATTTCAAGCCTTTCTGTGGGCTGAGCCTTACCAGTGATTTAAGATGAAGTACAATGCTTTTTATTACACATCTAATTGTTAATGAGAGGAAATGCAATCAGCAGCTCCTTTTCACACTCTACATGGAATCGAGGAGACTGCTGAGTCCAGAAAAGATGTGGCCATTGATGGAGCCCAGGAAATTTCTGCCCCCCTTTTTGGGGAGAGGGTGTTAGAAGGAGAAGAGAGGAGAGTTGCAAATATGATGAAAGTACCATGTCTGAAAATGCACTGTTGTCATATAGGGTCACTTGCAGCAAAAGCCTCGGTTTGAAATTTTAACTGAACAGCATTTAACTCTTCCAAGTGCTGCATTTTCTAGCCGATTTGCCTCATGCTAACTGAGGACACTCTCTTCATCCTTGTTCTTCTCAGGTGGAGCAGAGAACAGGTTGAAGGGGTGGAGGGAGGGGGAAGAGGGACAGAAACAGAGAAAAGAGATGGAGGAAAGAGGCCCAGATCGTCAAGTGTGCTCATTCTTCTTGTCTCTCTTTCTTGCCCCAGAGGCTATGCAGGAGCGCTGTCTCCTAAGCACAGTGGGGCTTGCTGAGCTTGCCAGGCGCTGGGCATTCCTGTAGTTCTCAGGGAGACACTGGGTGCTGTCTGGCTTGAAGTTGTATCCCCCTCTCCCCTAGAAGTGAGTCTCTCCCAGCAGGTATATAGGGAAACTAGTTCTTCTGCTTAACGGCAAAGCAAGAGAGATTCTGGCAAAACATTAAATATATTTATAAGTCATCTTTGTCTGGAACCAAATGAGGAAAAAACAGGTGCACAAGGGAAAGGAGGAGGGGAAGTGAGGTGAGGTTTAAAAGTTCTAATCATTCACGAAAGATAAAAGACATCTGATAGCAGCACGGAAGCAGTCAGCTGTGCTGAGTAGACCCTCCTGAGTCGACTGCAGACCACTGTGTCCCAACAGGAGTCTCAAAGCCCCACTCCTCGGCTAGTCCGGGGAAAGTGGGTAATATTTTGATTGTTACTGTTGTTGCTCATCCTGGTATTGGCAGATACGTTAAATACCGCAACTTTAATGAGTCCTGTGTGAAAACAGAGCAAATAATCATTAGTCCCTTTCCCTGTATTTCTCACTTGCTCTATGAGAAAAAGAACTAACTTAGCTGTCAAACAGGAGAAAGGCTCTGAGGTCCTTCGTAATGCCTGCTCTTGGCCTGTGACCAGCAGGAGCTTCCGTTAAAGGCTACATGGCCTGTCTGGGGACTTGGCAGGGGGCTCACTGTCATGTTAAGGGCCACTATGCTTACACAGAGTGACTACAGTGGGTGTCTTCAGAGATAGATGTGTAGGTGGTGGCTGGATATGTGGCTTGGAGACTAAGGCAGAGGTTGGGACTAGAGATACAAATTTGAGAGTCATCTACACTGAGATGAGAGCTGAAGCCTTGGGAAGAGACAAGGCAGCCAAAGAAGGGAGCTTAGATAAGGAAGAAAGGCCTGAGACAGACTCTTATGGGATGTGTGTGTATGTTTTAGGGGTGAGAGGGGAAGGAGACATAAGCTGTAAGAGCATCAGGAACAATATTAAAAATGGCAAAATGCCATAGAAAACTCAGGAGCAGAAAATTTTGGCAAAAGGAGGGGAAAGGTAACATGATTACAATATTAACATTAATAAACCACTTTTTACTAAGGACTTGTTAGGTGCTAGGCACTGTGCCAAGCACTAAGAATTTTACACATAACATTTCAATGTAACCCTCACAACAGCTCTGTGTACTATATACTGCAACCCTCATTTTGCTAATAAGGAAACTAAGGCTGTGGGAAGTTACTTGCCCAAGCGCACACAGCTAGAATTCTCACCAAGGTGTGCCTGTGTGACTTGGTTGAGGAGGCTGAGGGATGAGGAAGCAGCATGTCCTCTGTAAGACGTGAGCACTGATATGAGCCCCGCAGGGCACAAACCACCCACTCAGAAGAACCACGTAAAAAGATGTGCAGAAAAGTGTACTAAATGTGCACTTCCTTCACAGCCATCGAGGCAAGTGTGGGAAATGAGAAATCACAATGATGGCAAGGCTCCCAGCAGTAGTGCAGTTCCCCCCAAGCAACCATCACCGAATGTATGTGAATATACCACAAATAGATAAAGATGAATTTTAGGATCTCTTCCTGCCTCCGAGGGAGGATGAAGACTCGAATGGGAGAACACATGGAGTTCTCACCAACTCAGAGCCACTTCCAAGGTCAAAAGACAGTTCATTTTTAGAGGAGGTGGGGAGTGGGGATAAGGATTTTAAAAAGCTAACTTTTTAAAATCAAATGACACTAACAGAGCTGTGAGAGGCCAGCTTATTCACCATGAGATTTTCCCATTGGTACATTTGACTACCTACTTGATTTAACGGGTCTTTAATTATAGGTACTGGTTTAATCTGGGAACTACAAAAAGCCACAGGTTTTTGAGTCATTACTCTTAGTTTTGAAACTGATTCAAATCTTTCTTTTGAAAGTTTTTTGAATTTTTATTTATTTAAAAAAATTTTTTTGAGAGAGAGCATTGATTTGTTGTTCCACTTATTTATGCATTCATTGGTTGATTCTTGTATGTGCCCTGACCGGGCTGACCTGGGATGGAACCTGTAACTAGGCGTATCTAGATGATGATCTAACCAACTGAGTTGCCCAGCCAAGGCTAAATCTCTTACTTTCTGAACAATTCTATTAGATAACTGGGGCAGGAATTATTAGTTCTATTGCACAAGGGTCATCTAGATCTAATTCCAGAATCATCTAGAACTGAGGCTGGCTTCCTTGATGAAGGCAGCATCCAATATGCAGCCCCAGCCCTGTCTCATGGTGGCAGCTTCCCTTGCTTTACAGGACTTGGAAAGATAAAGGACATGAGAAGCTCCATGAACTAGCAACACCTTACAGCCAACATTCCATCTCCTACCCACAGTGCCATGCACACAGTTCTTTTTCATACCTGGGCAAGTATGAGGTCAGTATATGATTATTTATCTGGAGATATAGGTGTATGTTCGAGAAGGGGAGCGGGGGGGTTCAGCTTGGGCAGTTGGATCATTTAGAAAGTCCCAGATGAGGATTGTATCATCGTGTGAACTACTGACAATCTGGAATTCATCAAACTGGAGTCGGAAAACTCTTCCAGAATGCTCCTAAAGAAGCAGAAACAGAAACTTCTGAACTACTCAGAATCAAAAGGACAAATTCAGTAACATGTCAAAAGGAGTCTATGAAAAGGCTATATTATCCTGATAATTTTCTCTATCATTTAGCTATTTCAAGAACACACAGAAAAAAACTTAATTTGAATTAAAGGCAGGATGAAAAAGTCAAATACTGGGCAGTTGATTTCATACATAATCAAAGCAATATTCACTAGAGCTGAGGCATGCCCAATAGCATGCGAGTTTCTCACTGCTAACTCTCCTAGGCTGAGGCTGAACCAGACCATTCCTCAGTGCTTCCCTGGCCTTAGCCTCTCTCTGTACCTCTAGGGTTCTTCTACAATTAGAGGCCAAGGACTGATAAGCAATAAGAAGTGGTGTGCTGGTAAGAGTTTATCAGCTAGTTAACTCTTCCCAATTGCAAAAGCATCTGCACATTTTCATGGTGTAAATATTCCTACCCTGGCTCTAGCTGGTTTGGCTCAGTGGTTAGAGTGTCGGCCTGTGAACCAAAGGGTCTCAGGTTTGATTCTGGTCAAGGGAATGTACCGTGGTTGCAGGCTCCTCCCCGCCCAGGCCCTGGTCGGGGCTCGTGCAGGAGGCAACCAATCGATGTGTTTCTTTCACACCGATGTTTCTCTCTGTCTTTCCCTCTCTCTTCCACTCTCCCTAAAAATCAATGGAAAAATATCCTTGGGTGAAGATTAACAAACAAACAAAAACAAACACAAAAAAACAAAAATTCCTATCCTGGCCATTTTCAAGCTACCTATATGAGGCCAACCAGACTGCAAAAATCATAATTTAATTGAATCTCATAAGAAGTTATAAGCATATTTTGTATACCGTTGTAGTAACCACCACCCTGATCACTTCCAGTATCCTAAAAAGCACTCTCATGCCCCTTACAAAGTCGATACTACCTTCACCCCAATGCTGTCATCAATTCATTTTTCCTGTTCTTCGATTTCCTATAGATACACTCATAACAGATGTATTCTTTTTGCCTGGTTTCTTTCACTCAACAGTGTAAGATTACTCTCTGTTACTGCATGCAACAGAAGTTCATTCTTTTTTCATTTAGTTATTACTGGTTGATGTTCCATTATATGAACACACTATACCTTCCCGTCTCCTTTGGTGGATATACAAGGCTGATTGTAGTTTTGGCTATTATAAATAAAGTTCCTATGAACATTCATGTCTTTTGATAGATTTATGCACTCATTTCACCTAAGAGTAGAACTGTATGTTTAGCTTTAGTATATATGGTGAAGCAATTTTTAAAAAGTTGTGCAAATTTATACTCCCACCAGCCATGTATCAGAGTTCCAGTTGATTCACATCTTCAACAAATTGATACTGTCAATCTTTTAAATTTTAGCTATTTTGATAGATTTGTAGTATAGTGGTATTTTATTGGAGTTTTAATTTGCATTTTTCTTTATGAAGTTGAAACAGTTCCTCTCTATTTCTAGTTTGCTGAGAGTTTATCACGAATAGATGTTAGATTTTGCCAAATGCATCTATTGATATAGTCATGTGCTTTTTCTTCTTTAACCTTTGATGTGATGGATTACATTAACTGGTTTCTGAATATTACACCTGCTTTGTATAACTAGAATAAATCTTACTTGATCATGATGTGTAATTCTTTTTATACACTGTTGGACTCAATCTCCTAATATTTTGTTAAAATTTATCTTAATATAAGTTACTTCATTTTATTGAGATTTGAAAAATACTGGCATACCTTTAAAATAGTTTCAGAAATTTCCCTTATTGTGAAATCACTAAACATAAGGAGAATAAAGATCACACTTAAATTTGAAGCAAATGGTTTATAATATTACCAAAAAAGCCTACCTAATAAACTCATATTAGTTATGAAATTGTGTTTTATTTTCTTATATTTTTGTCTTGTTTTGATATTATGGTGATTCTGGCCTCCCAGAGTAAATTAGGAAGTATTCACTCTGCTTATATCTTCTGAAAGAGATTGTACAGAACTGGTATAATGTCTTCCTCAAACATTTGGTAGAATTCACCAGTGAACCCATTTGGGCCTGGTGCTTTCCATCTTGGAAGGTTATTAATTATTGCTTCAATTTCTTTAATACATTTATGCCTATTCAGATTGTCTACTTCTTCTGAAGTGAGTTGTGGAAGATTATATCTTTCAAGGAATTTGTCCATTTCATCTAGGTTATCAAGTCTGGGGCATAGAGTTGTTTATAGTATTCCTTTATTATTATCCTTTTCATGTTCATGAAATTTGTAGTGATGCAAAGTTGTGCTTAACATTCAAAAATCAATGTAATAACCAATTAACAGAATAAAGGTAAAAATATAAGATCATCTCAATGGATGCAGATAAAAACATTTAACAAAATCCAACATCTATTTCTAATAAAAACTCTCAGCAATCGAGGAACAGAAAGGAACTTCTAATATCCCAATTTTATCTACAAAAAACCTAAAGCTAACACACACACACACACACACACACACACACAATGGTGAATGACCAAATGCTTTTTCCCCAAGAAAAGGACATCCACTGTTAATTCTTTTGAACATTATACTGAAGATCTTGGTCAGTACAAGAAAACAAGAAAGAGAAATAAAGGTACACAGGTTGAAAAAGAAGTAAAAGTGTATTTGTACATACTTGCAATGAACAATCCAGAAATTTCAAAATACTATTTATAACAGCATTTAAAATATGAAATATTAGAGATAAATATGACAAAAGACGTATAAGACCTTTGAAAGCTATAAAACATTTTTGAGAATTTTTTTAAAGACCTAAACAAATAGAGAGACATACTGTATTCATGAATCAGAAGACTCAGTATTTTTAAGAGTTACTTTTCTCCAATTGAAATTGATCTGAATTTAACATGATCCCAATGAAAATCTCAGCAGGTTTATTGGGTGGAGGTGGGGGGTAAAATTGGCAGATTCTAAAATGCACATGAAAATTCAAAGGACCCCAAAAAAACTTTGAAAAGTACGAAGTTGAAGGACTTATACTACTAGGTTTCATGAGTTATTAAAAAGCCGCAGTAACCAAGTTAATATGATACTGGTATCAAGATAGACAAATAGACAAAAAGATCATTGGAACTGAATAGGTCCATAAATAGAGACCCCCACATATATGGTTAACAGGTTTTGACAAAGATGCAAAGGCAATTCAGAGGAAAAAGGATAGTCTTGAATAAATGGTACTGGAACAACTGGATATCTATATGAATTTTAAACCATACCTCATACCATCCACAAAAATGAACTCAAAACTCAATAAGAAACCCACTCAATTAAAAAAATGGGCAAAAGATTCAAACACACACTTCACCAAAATAGGTACGTGTTCAAGTAAACACATGAAATGATGCTCTACATTAACATTAGGAACATGCAAATTAAGATCACAATAAGGTACCACCGGACACTTGGAATGACTCACATTAAAAAGACCGTACACTAAGTAGTGGTGAGGATGTGGAGTAACTGCACTGTTGTATTGCAATGTTAAATGGTACAACTACTTTGGGAAACAGTTTGGTAGTTTCTAGAAATATTAAACGTACATTTACCATATGATCTAGAAATTCTGCTCCTAGGATTTATCTGGAAGAAATGTAAGCTTATGGTCATATAAAGATTTGCACATAATGTTTATAGAAACTTTATTTGTAATAGCCCCAAACTGGAAACAATCCAAATTTTCACCAACTGGCAAGTGGATAAATTGTGGTATAACCATACAATGAAATACTACTTAGCAATGAACTACTGATTTACATCAACAACATAGGAGAATATAAAAATAATTAGGCTTAATGAAAAGAGGCAAAAAAGAGTACATACTCTTTTTTGATTCCATAATTAAACCATAAAAATGCAAACTAATCAACATTAACAAAAAGCAGATTAGTGGCTGCTTGGGGACTGGAGCAGGGGGAAATGGGCAGAATGGGAAGGAAGGATTACATAGGAGGCATGAGAATACGTTCATTATCTTGGTTGAAGTGATAGTTTCATTGGTATGTACATATGTTAAAATTTATTAAGTTGCATATTTTATTGTATGTTAATTATATTTCAACTAAAGGCCCAGTGCACAAAAATTCGTGCACTCAGGGGGTCCCTCAACCTGGCCTGTGCCCTCTCACAGTCCGGGACCCCTTGGGGCATGTCCACCTGCCGGCTTAGGCCCACTCCCCAGGGGATCAGGCCTAAGCTGGCATCCTTCTGGCAGCCCAGGAGCCCTTGGGGGATGTCCGACTGACGGCTTAGGCTCCTGGAGGGAGTGGGCCTAAGCCATCAGTCGGACATTTTTAGTGCTGCCGAGGAGGTGGGAGAGGCTTCTGCCACCGCCACAGAGCTTGCAGCCCTTAGCCTGGCTTGTGGCTGAGCGGAGCTCCCCATGTGGGAGCTCACTGACCACCAGGGGTCAGCTCCTGCATTGAGCATCTGCCCCGTCCTGGTCAGTACATGTCATAGTGAATGGTCGTTCCCGGTAGTTCCACTGTTAGGGTCAATTTGCATATTACCCTTTTATTATATAGGATAAATCACTTTTTAAAAATTTAAGATAACTCAATAAATGAGGACAAGATTTGAACAGACACGTCACAAAAGAACATGAAAAGATGTTCTACACCATTAGTTATCACAAAAATGCAAATTAAAACTATAACCATTACACACTCATTCAAATGGTTATTAATTAAAAAAACCCTGACAATACTAGCTCTGGCCAGTGTGGCTCATTTGCTTGGGCATAGACCCATGCAACGAAAGGTTGCTAGTTTGATTCCCGGTCAGGGCACAGGCCCAGGTTGCAGGCTTGATTCCTGGTAGGGTGCATGCAGGAGGCAACTGACCAATGTTCGTTCGCATCAATGTTTCTCTCTCTCTCCCCCTAAAAATCATTTAAAAATCTTAAAAACACACACACACAAAACTGACAATACTAAGTGCTATCAAGGATGTGGAAAAGTGGGACTCTCATACATTGTTAGTGGAAATGTAAAGTGGCATACATTTGCAAACTTCCAAAATGCCACTTTGGAAAATAGCTTAGTACTTCTTTTAAATTTAAACATACACTTATCATAGAAATTTCAGTTATAGGTATTTACCCAAGAAAAATGAAACAATATGTACATACAAAATCCTGCATGGGAATGTTTTCAGTATCACCAAAAGCTGGAAACATTCCAAATGTCCTTAAATTGGTGAGTGAATGAACAAATTGGTTCATCCACGCAATGGAATACTACCTAACAATAAAAAAGAACTTAGTACTAGCACATGCAATAACATGGATGAATCTTAAATGAAGTAAAAAGAGCCAAAGGCAAAATGCTACATACTGTATGATTTAATTTATATGACATTCGTAAGACAATAAAACTACAGGGACAGAAATGAGATGAATAGTTGCGAGGGGGGTGATTCTAAGGGACACAATTTTGGGGAAATGATGGATATTTTCTATAATTTGATTGTGGTAGTTACACATCTGTAAAATTCATAGCAGTACACTAAAAATGGACTAATTTTGCTGTATGTAAATTATACTTTAAAAACCAGACCTAGATTAATTGTAAATGAGTGAAAGTACACATTTTAAAAAACATGTGTGAAACATGAAAGTAAAGCATGTATTGTACTGAAATAATGAGCTTTAAATCCAACAAGGAAGACAAAGAAATGTATCTCTCTTTTTCAGAGCAGGGAATACCTAAATGTTGAGCCAGGATTCAGAATACTGGACCTTCAAATGCTTGCTCTCATCTTTTCCCTGAGTTGTACAAAAGACTGTCTTCTCTAGTGCCCTACCTAATCTTTTTCTAATAGAAGCAGCTTTTATATTGAGAACATTTTCTAATCCAGGCCTTTGGCATGATAAAGAATTTAGTGCTTTTGAAGGTGATATAAGATCTTCTTGAGTCACTTTTTCTTCCAAATGTCAAGATGTTCAGGCAAGGGAGTATATACAAAGAATAAAAAAGATGGGATTCAAGTTGCTGGAGACAGCATGCCTTGAATAGGATGTAGAACTAAGGGGCTGACCAGGGGTTCACACAGACTCCCATGGCACTTTTTGTAGGCACAGGTGTGCAGGTCCTCAGATTCTGGACAGGTTCCAATTTGAGCAATTATGTTCCTTCTCCCTAAGAACCCCCTACTGTTTCTGGTGGATACAGAATTCTTATTCACTTCCTGTACTAAACTGATGTGGAGAGTTGCTGTGCAGCTGTTAAACAGCTGCCACATTTCTCTCCATATATAGTCTCTAAAGCACTTTTGGATGAAAGGCGCTATATAAACATATTTTATTGTCATGTATTGGCTGCCTTTCCACTTAGTAGTAGGTTTTGTGAGGTTCTAACTATCAAATCCAGATCTGTATTCCACAGCACATCAATGTTTAATTTCTTCTCCTTCCTACCCCCCAACTTCCCTTAAACAATAAGACTCTTACCACAAGAGTCCGTAGACAAAGAGTCCCTGCAGGAGCACGGGGGTCCAAAGCAGCTACAAGATCCCACACTTTAATTTTCCTAAAGACCAAAAAGAGGACAAAAATCTTAATTAAAAGCAAAATTAAGGGAGCACAGGAAGAATAGCAAAACGTCATGGCAATAAATATGTATGGTGAATATAGTTTATATAATAAATGCAGCTCACAGGAATATATAAAAACTTTTTTGTTTTGGAGACTTGGTTCTTATATTCATTCTTGGTCTTAACAGGGGAAAATATATGTAGTTAACCTAAAAACAAGAAACAGGTTAGCTTTAACCAAACTGATGAAGACAGTGAATGGCAAAGCTACACTATACTTTGGGGCTAAGAGAAGATCTTATACATTAGGCCTCTTAGTAACATAAGAAATCACTTAAACCTATAAACCTGTAACTCTGAAGCATCTTCGCTTTGGTCAGTTCTAAGAATGGCCCAGGTCACATGTACCAGAGGACTGGGGCCCATTTAAGAGTTCTGGAATTTATATTAAGAATACTTATATTTTGATTTAAGTAAGAAAAGTTTAGCCCTTCTAAACTTGTAATTATAGGTCATGTTTCCTCATGATAAATGACCCATAAAACCCAAGAAAGGTGGATACAGATCAAAACCTTGGGAATGAGAAAATGTAACCTTGGACCTAGCTGGAACATGTCATCACATCCTGAACACTTTCTCAAGGGTATGAGAGTAATGGCTGACTCAAAGCAGAAGTAGTAGGTCTGCTACACTTCCTGCTGCTTGAATTGTCTTAACATATCAGTATAGTCAGTTCATACACTAAGATAATGTTAAGTTAGTTTCTGATATTTAAAAAGCTGCCAATATTTGAACTGTAGCTTTGTACCCTGACAAGAAGAAATGATAAAGAGGTCTTCATAAGTGAATATACTTTTATAAGAATTTACTATGTGCTTAGCATTGCTAAACATGGGATCCATCCATAGGAATGGATTCTATATTCACCAGAAATTGGACTAAATAAAATAAAAATTACTGAACTCATTGTAACTGAAATGCTAGAAGAAGCAAAGACAAGGGAACTGCACTTTTGGAAACATTCAAAGATATCAAAATTTAAGATCCTACCACATTAAGCCCCACAGATATTGCCCTCCAACGTTTTAGTTTTATAGTAAGTCACTATTTTATATGTATATCCTGTTATACTGGATTTGTCCAATTCTTTGCTTTATAGGGAAAAACGGAAAAATATATAACCAAAATCCAAAATATCAGTAACAATCATGAGCAAGAAAGTGCAATTAAATAATTGGGAAGAATATTTTTGAAAGAGTAAACAAAGGAGAGGTGAATACATAAATTAGACACAAGAACTACTGTACTGGGTCCTTTCTGTGAAATCTATAATCTTTTAGACACAAGGAGAAGCTATATTTAACATCCTAAGGCAGGAGAGATTAAGATGTAGATACAAACTCACCCATCATAGGCCCCACTGACTATCCTCTTATTATCAAATCGAATACAGCGCACCAATTCCTCATGGCCTTCTAACACACGTAAACATGCACCACATTCTATGTCCCATAATCTGGAAAAGAAAACTGAGTCAAGTGAATTTTCATATATTCATTCCTAAGCTTGGAATGTTATAATAATATACTTCAATGTCTTTAAAAAAGTCCCCAAAATAAATCAACACCCATGCAAAAATGTACTGTTTTCGATGTAATTTATTTTCTTTCTGCCATCTAACTCAGGTAGAAAAATATATAATTTAAGTTCAAACATAGTATATATTTTCAATGCTTTATATAATTTTGTAACCACGGTCTTCAAGGCATAAAAAGGATGACTTCAATGGACATAGTTGCCTGTGAAGGAAATGACCAAGCCAAGAAAGACAATGCTTCCTGAAATCACCAATAAGAACGAGATGAAGAATGTCAGTGACATCCTGACCTCACCTCTTTCCTGAGGACACTCTCTGCTTTCACCCATTGCAGGATAGTCTTTCTCATTTAATGGAAACACAAAAGAAGTTCTCAAAAACTTTTATATGCTAATATACAAAAACTGTATGCTTTCAGACCAAACCAGATGATTTCTAGGAATGATAATTTCATCCTCTTAGTACTTTGAAGGAATTGAGAAGATTGATAAATCATCCAAATACAATTTAAAGACGAATTTGTTCATCTTTGTGACGGGAAAACACCAAAAATACTTCAATTAGTGGATTCATTATAATTTCAGACTGGTAACTCCCTAGCCAATTATGCAATACTAAGAAAATAAAATGCACACTTGCTAGTAGGGAAACAAATCTTGTTTCCTTTTTTTAGACCATGGGCAGAGAGAAATCGCCTTTAGCTATTTATTAGCCCTTTCCAACTGTAGACAGGTGAAATTTAAAGAGAAGGGCTTTCAACCTCAATCTGCGTATCTCTCTTGCCCACTTCCTCATTCAAGCAGTACCTTTTAAATAGGTCTATCTGGTGATAAAACTATTACAGGAAGGAAATACATCAACAAAAGGATTTGCTGTGCTGTCTCTCTGCTTGGGGCAAACTTTTGACCTGTGAGAAGCTACAGAAAGAAAAAACATTTTATAATAAACATAACATAGTTGAAGATTTGTTTGAACTGTGCACAAACAATGAATGGTAGGATAATAATGATCCCTTCTAGACAAGGCACCCGCTGCTCACCTGATAGTGTTGTCAGATGAACCACTAACGACCAGTCTGTCTCTGTACTGCAAACAGGCAATGCCACGTTTGTGTCCATTTAAGGTCCTCACAAATTCACAAGTACTAGTGTTCCATACCTGAAACAGAATATGGCATTTGGCAGTTGATTTGGTGCTCTCACTAGTAATATCTACGGCAAGTGGAGTCCTGGAGAGGGAAGGACTAAACCAAGTTATCAAGCCAAACCAAATCAATGACAAGTTTGATTCATGGTAATATAGGGCTAATTTGTAGCTCGTTGCTATCACATAGGATTTCTCAAATTGATTTACTCTATGGTGTTAGTCTGGTCTCATAGACAAATTTTCTTGAACCTAAATTTACTCCTGCCCTTCTTACACTCACCATTACTTATAGTAATAAAATACCTAACCAAAATTGTCACATAACTTGTCTCCTTTATTACCATTACTTAAATATTTAATTAGTCTACAGTGATGTTTTAATATGAAATAGCTCTTGATCAGATTTTCACATGAAATCCCCTACTCTTAAGTTGGAAACTTACCTTTATAGTCCTATCTCCAGATGCAGAAACAATGTACTTGTCATCAAAGTCTACAACATTGACGGCAGCTCGGTGTCCGACTAGCACCCTCCGGAGGGTGATGTCAGTTGGGGAGGCCATATCCCATACAGCAATGGAACGGTCTTTGGAGCAGGTCACCATCATGCCATTATTGAAACGCAAGTGCAGAACTGCTTCACAATGATGAATCAACGTGTTTAGCATTTCACCTGTATTTACATCCCACACCCTGGAACAAACAACATTAAGAAGGCTATCTGAGATTTTGAAGGTACTGATGCTACAATGTACTACCAATATTTGACCACTGTGCTTCCCCCGCGCCCCCCCCCCCCCCCCCGCCACTTTCATACTAGTACTATACCCTACTCTTCTGCATTTTTGAAGTTGAACAGAGGTAAAGAATACTGATGGATCACAGGGAAGTGGTAGATAGAGGGCTGGAATGGGAGAGTGGGAAAAGCAAGAAGATAGGATGCTGCCAATGTGAAATGCTTAAAGACACACTACTTCAAATGTGGGTATGTGTAGGGAGTAGGAATGAGGTAGCAGCCACCATCACCTACTAATTGGGCCCAGATCTCAAGATTATTATAAAACTTCAGAAATTCAATCTGATACCATTAATAAGATACATTTAAGACTGGGGATCTGATTAATAACAGCAGCATTAGTGTCCTATGGATAGCCCTCAGGAACTAGAACTGATATAGGCCAAGAAGCTTCCATAACAGACTGATTTAATGCTATGGATTTGATCTTGATGTCTTTGAATCTTAGATTTCACCACACAGGTCAAGGCCCAAGATTACTTAGACCCTAAGTCTAAGGCTCTACTTCTGAGCTCTGAATGGGGATTGGGATCAAGAAGGGCCATCAACTGTAAACATGGACTTCACAGTAGAGAATAGGACCTTTAGATAGCTTGAGAATTTTATGTGATGAGATATAGTATTTGATTTTAATACTCTTATTTTTGTATATTTACTTTGGTTTTTATAACACAAGTTATTCCTTTTTCCAGATTAACCCCCTTTTTCAGAAAATCATTTTTTCCCTTATCCTATAAATGATGTTAGTCAGCCTCTATGTTTCAGCTTCCTTGAGGCATTCCACATGAACCAATAAATGTTAAATGTCGATAACTAAGAACTGAGTTTGCTATGCCTTTAAGTCAAAAGACAAGAAACAAGAACAGCCTTTTCTATTCACAGAGGATAACTGAGAATGGTAAACATTTAACTTCAGAGAATCTAACAATGCAGTTAACTGCTTCCCCCCCCCCCGCCCCCACATTTTAAAAAAAGTTACTTCTGATGCATTATGTTTGCTAAATCCTTTAGCTTAAGGCAAAATTTCTAACAGAGGTTTCCAGCAGTGCTTCTGGTACCCAGAACTCAAGCTACACTGGACTCCAGCAGCATAATGACTGTGTCATCAAATTACTAATGCCTCTGGAAATTGAAGGCCCCTCCCTGAGTAAAGCTTGCAATTAAAAACTGCAGGGACAGCAGGGGAGGGGCTGGCAGAGAGAGAGCATTTCTCACCTGTACACATTTTAAAGGAGATAACACATGCCTACACTACAGTTATAACCCCCTGAAAGGAAGGTTTCATTTCATTCATGTCATTCCCTTGTGAGGTGGTTTCTGTAATGGATGATTCTAGCAAATTAAAACAGAAAGTGTAGTTTCTCAAATGTATAAAAATGTAAACTTACCTTAATCATTCCTAATTCAAGTTTTTAGTTCTAGATTAACACAACGGTGGGGGGAGCTGATGGTTTCTTCTTCTTTAGTTATGAAGTTTTAGAACTGTGCTCATGCAGATATACACAGAATTACTACATATGACAAAGACAGAGTGGATCTGATAACTGAGTTCAAAAAGTCGTTTGAAATTTTCTACCTGACTGTAGAATCCGATGATCCAGTTATAATCACCCTCTCGTCATACTGGAGACATAGGACAGAACCCGTGTGGCCTGTGAGAATTCTCTTGCATTCCAATGTGCTTTTATCCCAGATCTAGGAGGGCAAACAAGATCCTTTTGATCACTGTGATAATGGGGTGCTGCAGAGACTTGCTGGCTCTATTATGTGTTTGATACCGCCAAAGAATCAAAGCTCAGAGTAGTGTGGAATGCATTCTTTTCTCTAGGTATAGCTAAGCACATACATATATGTGGCTTCAGTACTAATGCAGACTTTATCCTTTTCATTAAGGAACAGGGGTAGCCTATAATTATGTGAGGGCTAAGAGTAATAGCTCATTCAGTGAACTTCAAGAAGAGAATTTAACAATCCATTTATATGCTCTTCTTGGGGGAAGCAGGTATCTGTCCTTTAAGGAACTGATTTTGGCTTTGGGACTAGAAACAACCTTAAATGCTCACTTACTTCCTGGAAATAATACCTAGAATTTATGCTTTGGATTGTTTTATGAATGTGGTCATCCTAGCTTCTTCAGCTACTTTCCCACACCTGAAGAAATCTCACCTTGATAGTGTTGTCTCGAAGGCCGCTTACTATCTTCTGATCATCATACTGCAGACAGTAAACTCCTTTGCTGGTTTCACTTCGGCAGTGGATTCTCTGTAAACTATGTCTACCACATCTCCAATTAGATTCTATTGTCTGAGAAGAAGGAATGGTAAAGAGGCAGTAATTAGGAAGGGAACAGAACTAAACACTTATCTAACTTTCATGCAACCAATGACAAATGCTCAATGCTTCACTCTATTGGCTATTTAAAATTTAAGGCAAACTAAAAATAAGTTTTCTCTCTCTGTCTTTCCCCCTCTCTTCCACTTTCTCAATGGAAAAATATCCTCGGATGAGGATTAACAAACAAACAAACAAACAAAAGCCACTATTTAAAATTATAGCCGAAGCCGGTTTGGCTCAGTGGATGGAGCGTCGGCCTGCGGACTGAAGGGTCCCGGGTTCGATTCCGGTCAAGGGCATGTACCTGGGTTGCGGGCACATCCCCAGTGGGAGATGTGCAGGAGGCAGCTGATCGATGTTTCTCTCTCATCGATGTTTCTAACTCTCCCTTCCTCTCTGTGAAAAATCAATAAAAAAAATAAATAAATAAAATAAAATAAAATAAAATTATAAAACATTTTTCATTTGTAAAGAAATTAAAGATTATTTTCTAGAACTCTTCATATAATTCATTCAATTAAATAATAAACCTGGTGGAAAGAGACTGCTCACTGAGAGAAGACAATCTATGAACCACATGAAGTTATGTGCTCAGTGGGCTTCCTACATGGTGGTCATTTCTACCAGTGAATCTCCACGGAGGCTCAATTGAGAAGATATCTGAATATCAGGTTAAGAGTGCAGTCTCACTGATATTATATGAAGACATCATAATCTCTCTCTCTTATCTATCTATCCATCCATCTATCTATCTATCAATAAATAACTTTTAAACACAAATCTTTGCCTGGCAATTTACTATATTTTACCTACTCTATTCTCTTACAAAGAAATTGATTTTTAACTCACATCAATAAACCTTAATGGGTTTGCTGTAACAATGCTGTTACTGAAGAATGTTGATGATTCTCTAGTATTTGGCAAATACCTAAATATACATAGATTCTTACCTCAATGTCTTGTATAATTTTTGGATAAAGTGCTCTATAAAAAGAGTTGGGAGGAGCATTCCCATCAGGAGGTTTGTTTTTGAATAAATACTGTCCCCTAAAAAAACACAAATATTTCATAATAAAAATCACAATATTATGCATTCACAAGGAGCTTCATATTTCTTCAAAGTGTTTTGACAATTATCATTCCATATAGTCTCCATAACTAGCCTGGAGAGGAGTGAAGTTAAGTCTGGTTTCAGGAGTCCCACATCAACGAGTAACTTTCTGGGCTCTAAGGAACTGGGCCAATATCGATTTGCTTTTGGGTAAAACATGATGATTTCCAGTGTAGAACATCGAGTATCAGGCCTTCTGGAATATTATAATGTCAATACTTAAATGAAATACATATAACCAGAATCCAACTATTGGTCTATTAGACCTCTGGATAGACAGATTTATTGGCCTTATCTTTTGAAAATTTTATTCATGATGATATCTATGTACTACCTTTGAACTGCTAGGCACATGTCCCACAGCTTCACTGAGTAAAGCTGTGCTAGTCAGTGGAGCCTCGCATCATGGGCAGTAGGAACGCCACTGTCATAGAGAACACTTCTTTTGTCTTCATTTATGGGGTTAAGGTTTGTTGGCAACTCAGGCACCCTGGTGATCAGTGTAGCTATGCTTGAAAGGAGCAATTCAGTTCATTTGCACAGAAAACAAAGGGATCACAGGAGTGTTCAGAGCAGGTATGGAAGAAGATGAAAAGAAATGCCTACAAGCACTGTGCTGTCAAGTCTAAAGCATGAAATTGACTTTCACAGGTGTGTTCCTGGCTATGTACATACATACACACATTTTACTGCCTTTTCCTTGATTCCAGTGAGCAACATTTGTTAGCATCTCCTTCCTTATGACAGCACATCTTTGGAATGCTCATATCCCAAGCTAGATCTTTGCTACAAAAAAAAATCAGTAAATGGCAATCACTTCCTGCTGGGTAAAAAATTTAATTCCTTATCCTGAAGTTAAGAACCCACCAAACACGGTGTGGAAGCTAGTAAACCCCACTATGGGTGTACTAACTGCTGTTCTCACTGGCACTGTGCCTTGCGAAGTGGAGATAGGCAGAAATGCCTCTGAGTGTAATCCTGGCACTAGAGAAATCATGTGTTCTCTGGGCCAGTCATCTGCTCCTCCCTCTATAGCTCCATTACAATATAATTAATTGTTCAATGTCTCTAGGAGCGCTTCTCTCCTGCCCTCTTCCTATTATACACCTTGAAAATTAGTTGAGAAAATTTCCTATCAGAAAGGTAGCCGCTGGCTCTGACTTCTGTGTTAATACGGAAAGGGAAATCTGCAGTGGAGATACTAAAAAATAGTTTTTAAAAAGGGACAAATAGGAACAAGCAATAGGATACACCAACATAAAGAAAAGGGCAAACAAGATACACTGAAATAATTCTGGCTTTAGAAAGTTAAAACTCTTCTCTAAACAATCTTATTCTAGCAACACACTGCAGACAAACAATAGATTCTGAATGAAGAAATTCTAAATCTGGTTAACAATTATAATTTAATAATTTCAACTGCAACATCCTTTAATGAGGTAGGAGTCACTACATTAATTTTATAGATAAAGAAATCAAACATCAGGGAGGTTAAGAAACTTGCCCAAGGTCACATAGCTAGTGAGTAGAGCTGAGGTTTGAATCTAAGTCTGACTTCAGATCCCATACTCTGAAATACTTTGTCTCTCAATGTCCACCATTCTTCAGAGATTCCTGTCCTCTTTTTAATCTCTGCAATTATACACAGGCATCCCAGGATTTCTTCATAATGAATGAAACTATTTCTACATCCTAAGGAAAGAGAAATTATATAAACCTGTGATTATTTTCTACTGCACCATAGTTACCATGGCTTGCTAAAGTATCTGAATTTCTTCAAATCAGAGGTGCTACAAAAAAGGGTGGCTAGGTATTTAAAACTGGTTTCTCAGTCTATAAGTCAAAATCTTTTAGATGGAAGCTCTTTGACAACAGGGGACATTGCTATATGAAATGCCTAGTACCTCTGAGAGTGTGAGTACATGCTAAATGCTTAATATTAAATTCAGAATGTTTTCATAAAATGTGACCTGCTAATTAAGAAAATAGACTTTCCCCAAGTTGTCTTTTATCATACTTTTAAGAGTTACCATTACTGAGCAGAGAGAGCACATTCAGTATTATTCAAGAGAGAAGATGGAGTTCACATAGGGTCAGACTATCAAATTCATTTAGATATAAATTACAACAGCAAAGTAGAAGTTAAACCCAAAGCTTTATTAGAAAACTGTATTTACTTATTTATTTTTGGTTGGACGAAATGGGCAAAACTATCAATGACAGCATTTGGGGGACTTGATTGACATAGTAGGCTTGGTAAGATAACTTAAAAGAATAAAATGAATAACTGACCATACACTAAAAAAATTTTTTAAGTGGGGGAAGAATACTAACACAGGAAGAAAGGCAACATGTAAAAATAGAAGCAGCCACAGAAAGTCAAGGTGATACTGGAAGTGGAAAAAAACTTGTAATTTCATGGGGCTACATTAAGTTAAGATGATAAATGTGGACAAAGACAAAGGAACATAATAGTCAGAACTCTGAAGGATATTCAAAAGAGCAGGCGTGGGTTCCTATGGTTGAAGAGATAGGGGAAAGAGTGATAATTACAGTTGGATCCTGGATTATTTTTCAGTTATACCTTCACAAACCCCTTTTAAAAAGCCCCAAGGCCATTTCTTCAATGATCTTATATTTTTTCCTGTATAACTAAACATAACAGATCTTGCTGTTTAGTGCCAACTCTAAGCAAAATTGTGAAGACTGTGTTGATTTTTGGCATTTTTACATGCATCTGCTCAAATCTGCCCATATACTTCTTGTTCTCACTATCTTAAAAAATAAAGACTGTAAACTCCCAATGTCTGATAAAGGTTCACTATCCGTTATAGTCCAAATGGGACCAAAGTGTATTTTAACAGGGAACAAAACCTTTATGGCTATGGGGATGAATCTCTATAACGGAAATTTCAGGTCAGGAGTGATTTGGAGGAGAGTTTCTTTTCATTCCCTCCCCCGCCTTGAGGGGCAGAGAAATAGTCCTTGCTGCCCTACAATGTTCCCATGTAAGCAACTGCCTGCTCTATTTCTAAGGTTGGTCTTGGCATGCTTAACAAAATGATGGACTTTGAATACCATACAACTACATACTATTTTGTTTTTTATACTATAAAGAATTTATTTCCAAAGTATGGAATAAGTTATGAGATAAGGTTTCTATTTTTCTATATAGTGAAATAAATGAGGATAGAAAAAATATTTGGGGAAGGAGAAATAACAGTATGCTTTCATTTATGCAATTTTTACATAGCCAAACAATTGCCTGGCATTTTCTCCCCTTAACTGAATTTGAGAGAAATATTAAAGTCTTCCTAATAGCCAGAATGATAGAACTCTCTTGCAGTACTTGGTATAAAATTTACAGGGCATTTTGTTTATTATATACCAATTAATTTCAAAGATAAAAGGGAGCCAACTATATTATAATGAAAATTGCTAAGAAAAGCTGATCCTCCATTTTTAATTGTTTGTATCTCTTTATGATCCAAGGTAAAAAACTGATAAAATTCATTGCTCAGAATAATACCAAGCACACATATGCCTGCTGATGCATATCTATCAAAAAATATTTAATGTCACCTTTATTTTATAGAAATATTCACAGCTGACTTTCTTATAGTGATATTCTAGAGGTATCCTCTGAGAGCAAATTATATATAGAAGAATCTTCCAGAAGTTCTAACAAAATGGTACCATTACATTAACAAAACAACAAAACTGGTAAGTCTCAGACTGCTCACTATAAAATGCCTTAAAGAATTCAAGCTTAAGCAGTAAAATCTTGAAAAAATATGTCTTATGAAAAAAACCATTATTTATACCAAATTCCATTTTTCACTTTTCTGATGGCTATAGCTCTTATTTTAGTTGGGCATAAAAATAATTTTGATTACAAAGACAATAAAACACCCCAGGCAGGGGCTAAAGGCAAGAAATCTTCTAAAGGAGAAAATAATTATTTGTTCTGGATTGTTTTAGGGGAAAGCTGGATCTGATGGCTTCTACGTGATTCAAAGTCATCATCTACTTGCCTTATAAATTGCCCCTCAGCCCTTTTTCAGAATACTGTTTCTGCCCAGAGAACAGAATGCTTTAAAAAGGAAGGCTAGTCATGTTTTTTGTTATTTTCTGCAAAGCAGTATTAACACATTATAATGTCATTTATGTGTGATTGGTCAGAAGAAAAACTGCCTAGTACATGAACAACTATTCTACATTTTTTGCTATAAACCAGCAAAATCACTGTATTAAATGAGAATAGTCTCACTGGTTCCCGACAACATTCCAATGAATGAGTGGCCAGGTCCTGAAGCTCTAATAGTAAAAAAGTTAAAAGGCTCACCATCCTCTTCGTTCTGCCAGGCCTCTCCACAGAGAATCTGTCCTGACCATTCTCTCGATGAGCTTTTTCCATAACATGCCATCAGATGTTACTCGGTACCATTCCTTGCACACAAGTTCAGCAGCACATAGTGATTTGGCATCCAGATATGACAGAATGTTCTCAGCAATGTGATCCAAACCCCGAGCTTTTGGTGGGGAAAGGAGGCAAAGAAGAACATAGATGGTAAATGATTTTTTACAAAAGGTCTTTGAAACAAAACAGCATTTATTCTGTTATGAAGGCACATCACTGTCCCTAGTGTGTCCAGTTTCTTTTTCAAACAGAAACTTAGGTCAAATGAGTGTCAATAATTTTTCCATAAGGTTACAGAAATGAACAGTATTTTCTATCTTCCTTTAGATAAGGAAGTTAAAGCTAACATCCAGCAAACCCCCCAAGACATTAAAAATAAAAAGGATTCCAGAAAACAATTCACATCTATCTGTATGGATTTCAGCACTAGGGGATGTTCTATGGATGGCATCTCAAACTCTGTGATTCAGACCCCCCCAAATCTCTATATTAGGTCCATTTCTCATTCTGTTTCTATTACTGCTGCAGTTCCAAAGCTGTTCAGTAAAAGAAATATCCTTTAAATGTACTGGGGGAGAGGCACTAAGTCAGAATGTGCTGGGCTATAGAATTTTGGGCATGCAGAAAGAAGAGAAGAAGGAAATACAGATTGGTATAGGAACATCCCAAGAGGAAAGACAGAAAGGAATGTTTAAGTTCAAGGATGAGTTTAATTTCAGATGTTTTAAAAAAACTATATTTGAGAATAGTTGCTGCTATAAAACCTAAATGACAGTACCAAAAAATGAAAATAATCCCAAACCAATAGATAACTTGGTTAGAATTTCAGAGACTGTTTTGTAGGATGTACAGAGCAAAACACAGTGGAAGTAGATCTTGAGCTGAGTAAACTAGATGGGCTTCCCAATTACACTTTTCTACCACTCAAATCTATACTGAGGCCTCAGAGGAACAGATCCTATAAAATAGGATGATCTCACTAATAAACCTTTTGGCTGCTGTTCTAATTCACAAGTGACAAAAACATTCAAAGTTCTTTCTCTTTACATGTTACATATCAAAGTTTGCTAAAGACTTAAATAGTACCGAAGGATTCCTTCAAACTTGACTCCCTTGGGCACAAACTTAAACAGAACAGAATGCCATATTCCATCTTGTGCCTTTCCCCTGAATCATAGGAAGACACACTTGGACGCCATTAGCAACAATCCAAATGTGTTTAAACATTATTGTAATTATAAAGATTGTATGGATATTATCACACTTTTCAGAAGATTTAGAAAAGAAGTGTCAAGTGGATCTTATTTGGCTAGCATCACATTCATATATATATTATTTTTAATCCTCATTTGAGGATATGTTCATTAATTTTAGAGACAGGAATAGGGGAGAAGGAAGGAGAATTAATGGGAAGGAGGGAGGAAGAGGGAGACGGAGGGGGAGGGGAAGACGGAGGGGGAAGGGAGACAGAGGGAAAAGAGGAGAGGGAGGGGGAGGGGGGAGAGGAAGGAAGAGAGGGAGAGGGAGGAGGAGAGGGAGGAGGAGAGGGAGGAGGAGAGGGAGGAGGAGAGGGAGAGGGAGAAACATCAGTTGCCTCCCATACAGGCCCCAGGGACCAAACTGGTAACCTGGGTATGTGTCCTGACAGGGAATCAAACCCAAAATCTTTTGTGTACATGATGACACTCCAAGCAACTGAGTCACCAGGACAGGGCAATCACATTTCATATTTAAGCATAAGCAGATGGAAGCATCCAGCGCCTCATTCTTATTAAAGGAACATGATTATAAGCCAATTAAAATATAAAAAATTAGCTTTTCATGCAAAATACAGTGATGATGCAAATCCTGCATCTTTATACTGAAACTTTCTACACCATCAGAAGTTTCCAAAATCCATTCCTGTGCTTTTAATGGCTGTCATCAAATTGCTCCTGATCTTTCACAATGTCCCTATAATAACTCTTTGGAAGTAATTTCACCTAACACTCCAAACAAACCCATTACATTAATGGATTACAGGCATTTTTTGAAGTAGTTTGGTTTACTAAATGTAGCCAGATGGTATAGGTTTGTAAGTTAAAATGGCTGTAAAGCATTAGACTGATGATTTAATATCTTATAAAGTGGTCAGCAGATACACACCAGGAATCACTATTAGGTAAAGGGATACAATGGTCTAATCAACTCCTGTTCAATTCGTAGTGGTATATGCTTGAGATAGTAACATCTCTCAGTGAAGGGGGAGAGCACAGTAATGAGGTACACACAGGTTGTTCGCACAGAAAACTGTTTGCCTGTGGCTAAAACAAAATCCAATGAGTGAAGAGGGGGCAGAAATCTATTCTATTTAACAAAAGATACAGGTAAAAATTCAGCTTTAAAATGATTATTTCTAATTTATAAACATGCATTTCTTTTGTTTTAAAAGGAAATTTAAAATGCAATTTTGGAAAAACAAAAAAATTTTAAAAAGTTATAATTGGCAAAGATTAAGCAAGTGTAATAAGCAGTTTTGGGGAGGGTGTAAGTTGGTATATTTTTTTTTTTTTAAATATATTTTATTAATTTTTTACAGAGAGGAAGGGAGAGAGACAGAGAGTCAGAAACATCGATGAGAGAGAAACATCGATCAGCTGCCTCCTGCACATCTCCCACTGGGGATGTGCCCGCAACCAAGGTACATGCCCTTGACCGGAATCGAACCCGGGACCCTTCAGTCCGCAGGCTGACGCTCTATCCACTGAGCCAAACTGGTTTTGGCGGTATATTTTTCTTAGAGGATAGTTTGGTACATGTGATAAAAGCTTTAAAATGTTCATATGTGTGTGTGTGTGTACATATATATATGAGTGTGTGTGTATACATATATATATGAGTGTGTGTGTATACATATATATATGAGTGTGTGTGTATATATGTGTATATATATTATTATTACAATAGGTATTTGATTACCGTGCACAGTGAGATTGTAAAGCCTGGAATTTACATATTTAATGTCACAGCAAGGCTGCTGAGATACCTTTTTTCTAAAATACTCAAAAAATGTTTCTTTTTCATTCCTACAGTTTAAATATTCTGTTGATAAACTCTCTTAGAAATCCAAAGGCAAGTATATAAGTTAACATATCTTGAAACTAAGATACATCTCAAACCAGATAATGCTTCAGAAAAGATGTTACTTGAACCAGTGTGTGGGTAAACAGGGTGGGTAGAAGAGCATGAGATAGGGAGAAGATAGGGAAAAGAGCAGTTTCTATCTCCAGAATTTGATTTTTTTTTGTATTTATATTCCTAGAAGGTACGATTAAAGGACTCAGTTTGTAAAAATGAAGCCAAAAAAGACTCAAAAAGATATATAGCTAAGATCTAGTACTATTACCATTGTAGCATATCTTCCAGGCAAATTAATGGCTCACAAACACCCGTAGACATACCTGGCAGAGCAGTTATGAAATCCCTCTGCAGCATAGGTTTAAGGTATGAGTTTATGTGCCCATGTTGGTAATGACACATTTGGGATATAAGATGTTCCACAAATTCCACTTGATCGGACTCTGACCACTGCTCAAAATATTTGACACACAGTTCCTTTTCCTTCTCATAGCTTGCCGAGAGCTTCCGTTGCTTGGGCACAATCATACTGGAAGTGCCATTGGCAAGTTTTGTCTGTAGAAAGGGTGGATTAAAAACACACACACATAACAGTAAGTATTGAAAATGAGGGAAATATATAATTTGTTGGTCTTGTACGCTATGTTATGTCTATATGATAGAGCTCACTGTTACACTTACTAATTGAATATTGGTGAACAGCAATTACAAGGAAAGACACAGTAATACCACAGTAAGTTGGTATATTGGGAATATTGCTGGATGACTAGGCATCCATTTCCAAACGTTCATAGGAAGACATTATTTGGGGATATATATAGATGAAAACCAAAAGCTGAAAGCATGTTGTTACTATTACTAGCAAGCCAAGAAAGCTAATTTCCTTTTTCTTTTGCCAGGCAAAGGAATTTGGACCTAATTCTGCAGAAAATGGTTCAACAGCAAAGCTTCTTGGATAAGAATAAGTAGAAAATGCAAAAAATGGCTTTGCAGTTAGAGCAGAAGTGGCACACAGCTCTGCACCGAGGTGCTCGTAGGATGGAAGACTGATGAAAATAACTAAGAGCAAGTTCTGTCTTCACTTCTGTTGGGGATGTAGGCTGGGTTAGCTCCTTATTTTCATTCTTCCATTGATTTTTCCTATTGTCTTTAAGGCTTATATAAAACCTTTTTGTTCAGTTTTAAAATACATTAATTTATAATTTGCTTCTTCTTGTATATATCAGTTACTAGACATTTATACAATTACTGACAACTTATTTTTTAATAGCCAAATAAGAAATCCTCCATACAAAGAAAGGCCAATGACTAATTTGAGACTATGGTACCTTTGGAGCTAAAGCTCAAATAACATTTATATGCTTCATCTACTCCCCCCCCAAAAAAAATCCCATCTCCACTGTCATCAAAATTAAATGCCATAAAGTCTTTTTTTATTAATTGGTTCAGTCAATAAATATTAATTAAGCATTTACAACATGCCAAACATTGTCCTAGGTGCTAGGAATACAACACTGAACAAAAATAACAGTCTATCATTGGGGGAACTTATGTTCTAGTGTGTACAGCAAGTTAAAAACAACCAAATAAATAGAAAATATAATGTCTACAGTGCTATGAGAAAACTAAAGCAGGATAAGGGGATAGGCAAAATTATATGATGGTCCCAAGAAGCTTGGCTACTGATGTACACACATCTTTCAGCTTTTCAAACAAACATGTAGATACTGCTGTGATTTAATTAAGGTCCCAAATTAGTTGACCTTAAGGTTGGGAGATTTACTCTGGTGGGCCTGATCTAATCAAATGAGCTCTGTAAAAGCAGAGTTGGTGGCAGAAGAGGAAGGAGACCATGGGAAGGAATGCAGGCAGCCTCCAAGAGCTGACAGCCAGTAAAGAAGTGGGGATCTCAACCCTACAAAGGCAAGAAACTGAATTCTGCCAACAACAATGAGCGAAGAAGAGAATTTCCCCCCAGAGCCTCTGGATGAGAACTGGCCAACCCTTGATAGATTTTTTTTTAATCCTCACCCAAGGATATTTTTTCCATTGATTTCCAGACTCACATACAGTCAGTTGATTTTTGAGAAAGGTACTAAGATAATTCAATCGGGAAAGGATAGTCTTCTCAACAAATGATACTGAAACAACTGGATATCTGTTTAGAAAAATGAACTTGCTCTTTACTTTAGATCACAAACAAAAATTAACTTAAGTGGATTCTGGATTTATATGTAGAACTTCTAGAAAAAATATAAGAGGAAATTTTGTTGCTATGTGGATAGGCATACATTTCATAGATAAGTCAGTATGTGGTAAAATTTTAAGCTTCTAGTTTCAAAAAAAACAGTTAAGAAAATAAAAATTGAAATCATAAACTATGAGAAAATATTCGCAATATATGTATTTGATAAAGGACTTGTATCTACAAATATATAAGGAACTCCCAGAACTCAGTAAGAAAACAAATAACCCTTTTTCTTTAAGTAGGCAAAAGACTTGGAGAGACACTTAACAAAAAAAGATCCAGGGATGGCCAATAAGCACATGAACATCATTATGACTAGAAAACGCAAATAAAATCACAAGACACCGCTACAAACTTACTAGTAGGGCTAAAAGTAAAGAGACTGACCATACCAAGTATTGGCAAGAATGAGGAGCAATTGGGTCTCTCATACATTGCTGGCAGTAATGTTTACTGGTACAACTACTTCAGAAAAACCGGTTGACAGTTTCTTATAAAGTGAAACATACTTATTACATGAGCCAGCAATTCCACTCCTGGGCACTTATTCCTCCAAATGAAAACATATTTCCACACAAAACACTTGTACATGAATGTTCATAGCTGCTTATGAATAAGAGTCCCAAATTGAAAGAATCCCACTGTCCATCAAGAGCTGAACTGATAAAGTTACAGATACACAAAATGACAAGGATAAATCTCAAAAACATGCTGAACAAAAGAAGCCAGGCACAAAAGAGTACATACTTTATGATTCTCTTTATATGAAACTCTAAGGATAACAAATCTAATTTATAATAATAAAAACAAATCAGTGGTAGCACGGGGCTGAATGTGTGTGTGTGGGGGGCAGACTGAGTTAAGGGCAGAAGAGTTTTGGGGGCAATGAAAATTCTACAGTTGTTACACAGGTGTATACAGTTGCCAAAATTCATCAAACTGTATACTTTCAATAGGTGTATTTTTTTAATATATATTTTATTGATTTTTTACAAAGAGGAAGGGAGAGAGAGAGAGAGTTAGAAACATTGATGGGAGAGAAACATCGATCAGCCGCCTCCTGCACATCTCCTACTGGGGATGTGCCCGCAACCCAGGTACATGCCCTTGACCGGAATCGAACCTGGGACCTTTCAGTCCGCAGGCCGATGCTCTATCCACTGAGCCAAACCGGTTTCGGCAATAGGTGTATTTTATTATATGTAAGTTACCTTAATAAAATTGATTTTAAAACTTCTAAGGATAGGGTATGTCTAAGGATAAATGCCACTGTAATATTAATTTCATTTGTAATGAAGATATTACATTTGTAGAGATAACAAAGGTAAAGGGCCTTTGTTATCAACCCTCTTCCTTCTATCATTCTCCCATACAGATTTTTCTACTAATGTCTGAAGTAAATGCAGCAAAATTTCAATTTGAGAACCTTTAAAAATCCACAAGGGTACAGTGAAGAAGTTCACTTATTAAAAACCCAAAAGGTTGTATATTAGAGTGTATGGGAGAGAGGGTAACGGTTATTGGTGGCAACAGAATTGATTTGGCCTTCCCAACAAAAGCCCAATGACTCAACCACTGCTGTTCAAATGTCTAGGAAAGCTGACAAACAACTTCAGTTTAATGGTAACACTAACTTTCTGCCACCCCTGCACATCTCCTTTTCTGCTTTTCTGTTAACAATGAACAGTTATCTCCAAAAGAAAGAAGCAAGAAGCTGTCAGGTGACAAGCACACAAAATGAAAGAAAAGTATTTATATGACTGTCCACAGCTTAGTCCTCAAAGGCTAAGGGCTAGCATTCCCCACCCACGCCTCCTCCTCCCTACCCCTGAAGACATAGTACATGCATCACTTTCAAAATTACCATAAATTTCTCTGAAGCTGCCACAAGGGCCAGGATAGAAAAATACACTTTCCAGACACCAACTAGTCTAACCAACACACCACTGTAATATTAAGTGTGCTGACTTTGCTACCTGTATACGTTGGAAGATACAGCATGGACTGGTTAAACTTGATGGTAAAAATGACAGATGTTTCTAATTTGCATGCAAAACCTCCTTTATTTAACCACTAAGAAAGGGCATCGTAAGTAGAGAAGGAAAATGTTCCAGACATAGGACACTATTTTCAATTAGGGGAGCAAGGCCTAGGTAAAGAGTAATATTTACGACTAGAGAGATGCAAATGATATTTAAGGATTCTGTTTGGCTTTAAGAAGGGCTTTGAAGAAAGAATGGCATTGAAACCTATATTAGAGGGAAGAAGATATAATGATTCATAGGATGAATCAATATAAGATAAAATGGGCAAGGGTTGTGCTGGGGGTAAGGCTATATGTTTCTCTCATGAAACTTTAGAGTTATCAAGCAACCAACAAACATTTATTGAGTGACTACTCTGTGCTGGGCATTTTTCTAGGTGCTAGGGAAACTGTAGAGAAGAGGCACACAAAGTTTCTTTACCTTCTCTGGGGAAGGATAGAGGCAGAATATATAATGAATATATTAATTCCAGAAACCAGTAAGTATTGTGAAGAAAACAAAAGATGGTAACATAAAATAGGGAGTGAGTAGTACAGCATACTTTAACTGAGGTGGTCATGAAATGATGCTGAAGGAGATAACTGAATGATGCTGAAATCTAAATGTAAGTCAGTCTTCTGAAGATCTGGGGAAAGGCCTTCCAAACAGAAGAAAGAGCAAACCTAAGCTGTGTTCAAGTGAAAGACAGAAAGAAGGCTAGCACAGCTGGGACAGTGAATGAGGGGGGCACTGGTGGGAAATGAGGTCATGAGGTGGCCTGGGGCCAGATCATATAAGGCCTTCTGGGCCTCAGTAAGGAGTATGGATTTCATCCTAAGTGTAAAGGAGAGCCCCTGAGGTTTTGAAGTAGTCAAATATAACATCATCTGATTTATGCTTTAGAAATATTTACTCTAGCTGCCACACAGAACATGGTGATGAGGGCTGGAAGGTAGGAAGAGGATAACAAGAACAAGCTGTGAGAGCAGAGGCAGGAAGACCAATCAGAAGTCTGATAAAATACTCCTGCACGTGGTGATAGTGGCTAAAATTAGAAAATTAGAAGAAAGGTATTTTACCCTCACACGAGATGAAGGAAGAGAAAGAGCCTGTTGAGAATACAAGTCCAGGTTATAATACACATTTATTTCAGTATAATGATTTACTGATCCTTCAAATATTTAATCTGATACATTAACTTGAATGGGGATTGAACCAGGGTTCTTGCTCCTGCAGCCAGGAGAAACAAGAGTCTTGAGGCAGAAGAGAGGATTTAAAAAGAA